TAAAAATTGCAACATACTAATCAGACAGAAACAGATGTAATAGGGAACTATGCAAGCAATAAGTGCTAGGCAAACATGTAAAGTATTTTCAAGCAAGCTCAACTGATAGTAAATAACAAGAAAACAATTTTTGTTTAAACTTTCATGTTTATAACATATAACGAGAAAAACAACAAGAAACGCAGATAAAATAGACTAACTCTCTCTTCTAGGCTTATGAGATAGCTCGAAAAAAACCATTCATAAAAATACTGTCATACCTACTTTTCCTGTATCAAAAATAACAAATAAACGGGTTTAAAATTAAATATAACGGCTGCGTGACTATATTCTTTGAATAATACGACAAACTCTTCCTGAAACAAGATCGAAACCAAAAAGTTGTTCTAAAATTGAAAAGAAGAATTATGATTGAAACTAATGCCAATTTCTCACTATCTGCTTAACAAGTTATCAATTTCGATCCAAATAATAAGCTAAAAGTCTAGAAACCAAAGGAAAATTAATAGCTATATATATTCTGGTAACATGTGAAATATATAACCACATAACTATCTCTTCTTTCCAACTACTTTCTCCTCCATTTTATTCGCCTTCTAGTTCTGAAATAAATTCGAATTATAAAACTGATAAAACGCAGATGAAGCAAAGAGGAAAGATGAAATTAAAATATCACTGCACCGCCAACAAAAATAATAAAAAATCCGGAAATGTCCCAGTAGATAAAATCCATGAGAATAACCAACCTTCTGTGTTTCTTTGATTCCTATCCAGAGGCACCTTTTGCTTTTTCAGTAAATGTCTGTTTACCTTGCCTAAAAAATTTAATGATTCAATAAAAATAAAATCTCAACGAATGTGCTGAAGCACCCTTATTCTAGTTGATATTTTTCTTGCTTTTGCATAGTCGCCTGAAGACTTACTTTTGCATAGTCGCTTGATCTATATTTCGGCTAAGAGCTTTCTCATAGGAATGCACTCCTTTCGATGGTAAGTGAGGTATTTTTAGAAAAGCTCGAACTGATGGGATCTTGAATATTCCAGAAAACATTACAGAGATCATATTAGACGTACACCAGTATAAAGCTATAGCCTGAAATGTTCAATGAATTCTATCTATAACTGAAATATGCATAAGGCAATTCGAATTATAATGTAAATATGCAATCTGTACGATTGAAGAATGAATCGGAATAGCAAACGCAGATACATGAACACGAAAAGTTTGGCACCATGTTCATGTATTTGCTCTTACTATTCCGATTTATTTTTCAATCCTGCAGAGTGCATGTTTAGAAGGCTTTTTATGTTTGGAAGGCTAAAGTTTCGGTTTTATTGATATTTAATTGATATAAAATGGGGAAACTCATTGAAACTTGCTTTTCTCTTATGTTAGTTACACTTAATTTTGGAGATCCAATCTTCTAATGCAGTACAACTTTTGAATTGCTAACTGCAACATATTTCCTGAAAACAAAGAAAACCCACCGAAGAAACTTTGATACTACATGCAAAAACCACAACTGGTCCAATTCTTGTCAGCATCTTCTGGATCTGCGGATTGACACCTTGATTTGATCCACCAGTTTCGGCCCCCATCTACTCGAAAACAGTTTCTAGATGATAATAGAAAAAAAAGGATGAAATAGAAATAAAAACTGTTGTTCTTCACTCCATATTATCCTATGCAGCATTCAATTTTGTCTTATTTTTTTTTTTAAATCCAAACCTGAATCCCACTTACATTTATCAATCTAAACTTGAATTTATGGTACTTGCAAGAAAAAATTTCACCTTGGCAATGACCAAAAAACACTGCAAAAGTTTAAAGTTTTCCTTTAAAGCCAGGAATTTTTTCATATTTCTTGAAAACGCAGTTACGTATTGGAGATTGTACAACTAATATGTGTAAAAATCGTATTTCAATTAGTTTACTTTGAATATCGCAGCGACAGTGATAGCAGAAACCAATGGAAGCAAATAATAGGGATCAGGTATGGTCAAATCCTTGAACCAATACAAACCACCAGTGCTCATACCAGGAAAACTGAAAAAATAAAATAAAATAAAATAAAATGTTTAAAAGCAAACCAATTTTCTCAAGCACGGTGATTCATTTCCAAATCTAATGCTAAAGCTTACGCAACATCAGACAATTTTTTGACCGCGATAAATTGTGTCATAAAGATAGCGCCATTAAAACTCATAAACATAAACTGTCGATAAAGTTTGATGTCCTTTGCTTTTAAGAAGTCTTTCAGCTCTTTTTGAGTTTCCATCGCTGAAATCCAATTTACTAATAAGTGAAGCTTCAAAATCTTGGTAAACCGCCATACAAGTCTCATTTCACATTAATATTTGCAGTTTCTTATATTTTAAAGTAGAAAAATACTTTCCACATCTAATGTGACAAGCACTGCACAATTTTCTTAGCACTAATCATGATGGACAAAACACTATGCAGAGCAACCATTACTTTAAGAAATAAAGTCAGTAATATTGAGAGGGAGAGAATTGAAGTAATTTGAAACCTTGAGTGGTTACAAGCTTAATTATTGATACTGATGAAAAATATTTATTTTACTGTTTAAAGAATTAAAATATTTTTGACAAAGGAAATTGTTTCCATATATAATAATTAAACTAGCAAAATCTTCGGAAAAAATGGAGTATAGAATTTACTTAGAAACAAAAAAGACAAACTTTGCAAAAAATTTCCACTTCTTTTAGCAATTTCCATTTTTTCTTTAAATTCATCAATTTCATTTTTGTATAACTGCACTCGTGCCATAAGTCGATGAGAGGCGATTGGTACAAATATCATCAGTAACCGTAAACTTATTGTGGCTAAAATTGAATTCTAAATAATTATCAGTCATAAATCAATTAACTCATTTGACGTGAACAAATCAGGAACTGAAAAAAATTATGGCACTGTAATTGCTTAAGAAATTTTAAACCTCATGAAAGCACGCTCATACTCGACGACTAATTTCACTAAAATTCAAGTTATCAATAAATAAAAATTTTTCACTTTTAATCTTTAATCATTCTACTTACCACATACGACAGTTAACCACCACGGTAGATCAATATTAAAATGCATGTATTCCAGCGCTAGTCGAAACCATGATGCCGGACTCCACCATGAAAAGAGCTCATACTCTTTAACTAATGAATTCCCACTAACGAAATCAAATAAATGAAAATCTTTCACCAATCCCAGTTGCAACTGTTCAATCAATGTGAAATCTGTTGAATCAGTAGAAACTAATGGTGTATTTGCAGGTGTAGTCTGTAAGAAAATAATTTAAAATCAATCTAGTCAAATTCATTTTAACCGTATCTGGCTCGATGAAATTTAATTAAGATTAAATCGAAATGATTTGCTTTAATTGACGCAACTTGGCTCAATCTAATTAGACCATTTAATAGACTTAAGAAAACATTTGAACATTATCAAATCAGGTTTATTATATTGACTTCCGTAAGAGAGCTACCACAGATACCACATGCCAACCATCATGAACTTACCAATATTTCAGGAATCGCTGGTGAAGCCGAAGATTGTGGATCGTTTCCGAAAAAAGATATATGCCTAATTTGTAAAATTAATTGGCAGCGGTCAGCAGCTAAAAGACTTTGTCTTGGTGATATTTTCGCTAATAGTGAAGACGTTAACTCCGTCAGAAGATGCCGATTGAGCCGCAAAACCATCTGCATATTTCTAGGAAGCATCCTGAAATTCTATGACATCACGATCAATACTGAAGTACATTTCCTTCCTGTAGCACTGTATTTTCGAAAATCAAGTAATGAACAAACTTCTTCAGCTCCTGCCCCCTGTTAAACAACTGTAATCAATGAGCATTTAAGAATACAATAAACGTAGAACATTTGCATGCATTTCTGAAACCCTCAAATCCACTCTAAAATTTACCAGTTTTAAATCCATAATTGATTTTCATCTACTGGTCGTAGAGATGGTAGCAGATAAACAGCTTCTCGAATCAAACAGTATTACCGTACAGTGTGCAAAAAATTTTTTGCTGAATTTTATCTTAATACAATTTAAGTTTTTAATGATAAGTTCACATAGCTATATCTTGAACATAACATAACTTTCGAAAGAGCATAAGAAACAAGAAAATATAACAACGTCAACTATCAAAAAGCATCATTTTTTGAACCAAGTAGCATTTTCGTACAGTTGTAAAGATTTTTCTGCTGAATTTTACTCCATTTTAATTAGTAATAATTCAAGATTCTCACAACACATTCACCCAATAAAGTCATCAACTAGTAGGTTACAACTATTGTGTTAATACCGAATAAGGCAGTTAATTTATTATCAATACCAATGATATGTGATAAAGAATAAGCAATGAAGGAGTGATATTGGAGCATTATTTTACAGCGACAGCTAACTCATGAACAGTTAACATAACAAACCGAAACTATGTTACAGTGTTAGCCACAAATTTTCATACAAATTGGTCTACTATAATCAATAGTACTGAATAAAGAACGATACACAGCTAAATCACTTTGCATACTATGTGTCGTGTTCATCTAGCACCAGTCTGATTTACTTACTAACAGCAAAAATGTCCTAGAGCAAAACTCTACAAATGAAACGATTCAATGAAAAATCTCCAACTTCTAATTAAAAATCTACTTGAGATCTCCGCAAAAAAAATTTAATTCAATTTCAGCCTGCTGTAATTTTGTCGATTTCAAATTTCCGGGAATTAGTTCTTGTAATGGAATTTGGTTTTCCAGGTTTCATCATCATACTTTCTCGTACTGCTTCCTGTATGCACTGCTCCATTAATTCAGCAATCTTTGAAGACGATAGAGTATCTTCTCTCCAGAATTCTCGAAAAAGCAAATCCTTTTCAAGACCAATATTTTCTGTTTCTTTCACAAAAGATTTAGATATTTGATCACTTTGAATTTTCTCAATTTCAGCAACTCTCTTCTGGGCTTCCAATGTTTCATTTACTCTATTCCGCCTCGTCTCTGAAAATTCGAAATCTATTTATATTCCAAATAATACCTATACATTTCATGGACAAAACATTCTGCTCAATCTGTTTCTTATAAAATAGAAACTGTTAATGATATAATAAATCTTTCAATTCACTGAAAAATCTTGCAATCAGAAATTTAAACATTACAAGATTAATCAGTTAACTTTCAAAAGAAATGAATAGTCAATGAAAAATAACAAATAACAGATAATCATAGTAACAATAAATCAAAAAGTTAAACAATTTGAAATACCAGAAATATAGTTTAACAATTCGATACGTCGAGCTTCCACGGGATTTGAATGAACATCAGGCAAATGTAAAAAAGAACGCACTGCATCAGTTTTCAACATCATTGCATGCACGCTACTAATTAAGCTCGAAGTAATCCAATAAATACACACAGCCTTAAAGATGATTTGCAAAAACGTAATAAAGGAAACACTGTAGACTGTGCAGTTCTAGGTAAAACTGATAAATTAAATGAAATCAAAACTGAAATTAATAAAAGAGGAAGTACAAAAAAGGCATGGCTCAAAAAGTTTCTCAATGAGCAGTTAAATTAATATTTCATTCATAATATTCACAACGTATGAAAATAATAATGCTTACAATAACACATTATTTAAATTTTCAATCTTTGGCCATTACTCACCGAAGGGACGTTATTAGCAACGAAAAATGAACATGCAGCGATTGGATATATCGTACTATTTGACTTTAATCCGATCATCCAATTGCTTACTGTTTTTTGCATTTGCAATGTTTCAATCCATTTCTGAAAAGAAAGAAAGAAATACCTTAAGGATTAGGATTGAAGGAGTTTTGCTCTAAATGTACCTGTATCCTACGGCATATTGATTACATTTAGAGCAAAACTAACACAGACTTAATGTGAAATGAAAAATACGACAAGCTTTGAAATAAAAAAAATTTCTTCAATCATTTCTAACAAAAGTTTGTGAAGTGATGAAAAAATGCAGGAAGAAAGGAAGCCTTAGAAAAGCGCCTTGACAGCAATAATAACGGACTGTATGCTTTTCGTTTTAGGGAAAGATTACGCTTTCCTTTGACTAATGGTAAAAACTATTTAACTTTTAAATTCGTAACGTCATTACCTTAATTGTGAAAGTTAAACAAATAGCAGTTAGGGTGGGTAACAAAAAAGTTGGATCGGATACTGTTAGATCAGTGAACGATAACACTCCACTTGTCGTCCAGCTCGGATAACTGAAAATATCATTATTCTTATGAGTACCTAAACAATAATATTTTATTTGTTTTTTAAGCAGTAGTAATAAATCAAATATTTTTTTACTAAACTTGACGAAAAAAAAACATACACAACTTCGGCCATTTTCTTAATACAGCAGTACTGAGTCAAGAAAATCCCAGCACTTGAAGAGTACAATATGATCGAACCAACTCGACTCTGAATTCCTGGAAGTATATTAGAAATTTGAAGTTTTACACGATATATGAAGTCTTAAACATATATAAAATCCTCGACAGAGTTATTCAAAACAATATGCTTACGATGTAGAAATGGACGCCTGACTTTTTCGAATCTCGTTCTCTTCCACAAAATTAAAGCCGGCAAATAGAGTGTAGCTATTCGAATCAATACAGTACCTGGAAAAAAAGTAAATTATTATTAGAAAGCCAAAAGTTCATTTCGAATTTACCTGACTTAAACTTTCCAGAGAAGTATGAAGAAACCGGAAATAAAACTAGAAGAGTCAAGAATTGCTCCAGAAATAATGAAACTTTACCACATATTATAGTAGCAAGCCAAGACAACTCGTAGTTGGTATGTAGATATTCCAAGAACACTCGGTACCACGATGATGGTTTCCACCAGGTATATAGCCCCAGATGTTCAAGCGGAGTATTACTTAAGCCAGAATTTTCAATCAAACTTTGTGCATAACTACACGATGTTTTTACCGATCGGTCGAACCATTGAACAATGGGAAGATTCTTAATTTATTTTTAAATCAGTGAAATCAAATAATCGATTAGATGATCAGATTTTGAAATCATATCAGACATTTCTTTAGAGGACGTTAAAGCAAACTACATTGAAAAATTACTCCATCCTTTTAAATTGAAATTAATTTAGTTTGAAACCAATCAGAGTAAACCAAATCATTCAATTCCTAATTAATTTAATCTGGAAATCAAATAAAGTGAATTAATAACCTGCAATTCTGTTGCAAAAGCAAACTGCGTATCACTGGAAAAATTACGTATGTTACCAATATTCTTCCATCTCACTGTTGAGAGAAAGCTGATAATGATACCATCTGAAGTGCTAGGAACAGCTCCACCAAGCCTTTTGGCAACAATGCGACATGCTACTGCGTGGATGGACATTAATCAGAATAGCTCAGAAATTCGAAAATCCTGCAAGATTAATTGAACATATAAGAAAATCAAAGCTCGGAAAAAAATCTGCCACATATTTTCACTTAAAATAATATTTTTCCGAAGCACTAAGATTACACAAATATGTCACTGAAAAAATCAATTTCAAAAAATTTTTAAAAATTTTTAAAAAATTCTCTTTAAAAATCAAAAAATCATTTCTTGGAAATAATCAAATGACATGCAATTTTGATAAGACAATCAATGATTGATAATGAAATGAAAAATAACAATAATTTGTTGGAACCATGAAATTGATACAAACTAAAAAGAATTAACAGTAAGAAATTGATCAATTAAACGAGTCACCAGAAACTTGAAAAGTGATACGGTGATAGTGTGTGATAAATGGATGAAAGAGATCACACAGTTATTCGGCAATAAACGAAATTTCGCTTATTGCATAATCGTATCACAGAGGCAATGAAAATTTCGTCTCCCTCTGCTCGGTTATCATTCCCTAACGGAAGAATGTTACTTTGTTGGATAGTTTAAAATTATAAATTGAGGCATATCAAATACAGAAAAGGGATAAATGTGTTGGTTGCAGGATGCTGAATTACTGTGACAGAATATCCTCATCATTCTTTGAACGGAATACTTCAACGCATTCTCATCTTATTGAAACTTTTTACGGATCGTGTCATTCCTCGATCCCATGTCTCGTAAGTTATATCTTTCGTTTATCAATAAAATTTCTGTAGCAGAAATTTGATGAATGGTGAATGAATGACAATCATATAAGAATATCCGAGTTACACTGGACGGCTTCGTTATCCAAATTTAAGGTAATTGAATGTTTCGGCCCAGAGTTTCGGCTGCTGTG